TCTCTCTCTCAGACTCTCTCTCTCTCAGACTCTCTCTCGCGCTCTTTCTCTTTGTCCCTCTTTCTTTCTTTCTCTCCCTCTCCCTCTCCCTCTCCCGCTCTCGCTCTCGCTCCCGCTCTCGCTCTCGCTCTCGCTCTCGCTCTCGCTCTCGCTCTCTCTCTCTATCGCGCTCCTTCTCTCTGTCCCTCTCTCTCTCTCTCTCTCTCTCTCCCTCTCCGTCTCTTTGCATGTACACTTTCTATGCAGATAGAAAGCCCCAGAAAACAGAACGCACATAAGCCCTAGTTGACCCCAAAGAGCCGCTATAGAAAGGTCCTCCCTCCTCCTGGACTCCGCTCGCCCTCTTCGCGCGGCCCTCGGCCGCTTGGGACCTCGGCCCACGAGTGGCCTGGCCGAGGCCCTCCCCGCAGGTTTAAGTCATGAGGCGTGTGCAGGAAGCAAGGAAATGGAGCCTGTATACATACTTACTTACTTATATACTTACTTTCTTGCTTACTTACTTACTTACTTATATACTTACTTACTTCCTTACTTATTTACTCGCTTCCTTACTTACTTGCTTACTTACTTACGTTACTTACTTACGCACTCACTCACTTACTCACTCACTCACTCACTTACTCACTCACTCACTCACTCACTCACTCACTCACTTACTCATTTGCTAGATATAGACTAGATATAGACAGATACAGATATGTACATAAAGGCAGATCGATCGATAGACAGATAGATATGTACATACACATACACATCTACCTACACACGAAATACAAAGATAGACACACACACAGACATTTATACAGTTTTGAATCTTGAAACGTCCAGAATTTTGAGATGGGTTTAGGGAGGTAGGAAGATAGAGAGGGAGACACCTTGCTTCAAACTGTCATTGCCGGTTGTTTGTGTGCGTTATGTTGCGTGACACCTGGCAGCTAAACCCGATGCCAAACGAATCCTGCAACGTCCTTACATTGGAGCCGGCCTCGATGTTTCGCATTCGTGTTGTCGGTTCGACGAGCTGGTCGAACACACCCATTCTGTCCAAAAAGTGCAGAAGGCCCCGTTGCTTACTCTGGATCTGGTTCATTTCGTGAGGCGCAGGTCGGTTCAGGGTTTGGGATTTCAGGGACACTGCGCTGTTTTGGAGGCCGCGTCGGCAGCATCGCTGGGTGTCAGCGTCGGTGCCTTTGCCGCTATCCATACCCAGCTTAGGCATTTTTGAACCCTGTCTTGGAGCAGATGCCGTGGCCCACCGGCGCCCTAGTTGTCCACTGAAGTGGAGTACAATTTGAAGCTGTGTTCCTGGCTTCTCTAGACCCTAGCCATCTTGGGTTCTGTCGGGATGAGGTTTTTTACTCTTGAGGGGAAAAAACCGCTGAGCCCTGAGGCACCATGCTCGTTCCGCATGTCCTCGGCGCCTCGGTTTCTGCAGTGGGCTGCTTCTACATCGCGCAGCAGGCACTCGTCTTTCCTTCAGCGGGTCTAGGGCATAGTTGATAGGGTAGGGGGATTTCAGGGCTCGTGGTCGAGCTTCTACTGTGTAGGGTTCTGGGTTTCCCGACAGACACCCCAAAACCGGATGCAAAACAGGGTTCCGGGTTGAAGGATCGATTGCTCTGCAGCCCCAACCATGGTTGGCATGTCGGCTTCAGTCAAGGAAACTGAGGTTCGAGGTCCGGCCAGACTCGGCTAGACTTGAATCCAGTGGGAAAAGAGGTTTGTTGGTTTCAACGAGTCCCAGCTGCGAACAGAGCGTTCAGGGTTCAGGCGGGGATCACTGCACTTTCATGCCAGACACGTCCTTGCAAACCGGTTTTCTTTCAGAGCACGTGTCAGACACTGACACATGGTCTGGGGACACAGTCGTAGAACTCCTCCAAAACGATGTACACCAAACTACCCCTTTGCACAACCCTCATAGAGCCCCTGTGGAACCCTTGTAGAATCCATATTAGAGCCCTTATAGTAAGTATCCTTATCAAGACCCTCATGAAGCTCTCAGCTGGGCTCAACTCATCACGTTGCCTTTCAGGTCAGCCGCGTCTCGCAAGAGCTCTCCACACAGTCTGCCAACACGTCCGGGCCCGCGGGGTCTGAACCAGGGTGTCGGGTGTCGCGTGTGTGTGGAGGGCAATGTAGACAGGCGGTGCAGGTGGTGCCAGATTGGGGGTATCTCAGTTGACTCCAGTACACATTGCTTGGGCTAATTAACGGATCAAGAAAGCTCGCAGCACCAAGTCTTATAGGCTCTAACCTGTTGTCAAGACTGGGAACTGGAGCATCATGACCGCAGTCCTGAAAAAGTAAAGCCCAGGAGTTCGAGATTGTGATTTGTGGCATGTTTCGGTTCGGGGTACGGAGCCTTTTTTGCGGTCCCTGTGGAAAAGCGGAGTGCTGTTCCCAATCGAGCACAATTCCTATCTACATCTATATGGGTATCTTTCTTCTATATCCATAAAACGTGTATACGCATACATAGTCTTATGGCTCCCAAAAAATGTATGTATGTATGTTTGTGTGTATGTATGTATATATGTATATATGCATATGCACACATACACGTGTACAGATCGACTTTATGGAACCTACTTTTCTGATTATATGCAATCACGTTCATTGTGCATGATCTCGCATACTGTCGGTGCGTATGCATGCTTGAATGTTCGTTCGCGTGTTCGTACACAGATAGGTAGATGATGGTAGATGGTTAGATACCTCGACATATGCGGCCCAGAAAGCCGGAATCGCAGAAATCTACCAGAGACCAGCTTGTAGGCGCCTGGACACGTTGGCCTCAGCAGTCCACGTGCTGTCGCAGGAGGTCGGGTGCCGCGCGCAGTCGAGGATCTCTGCACGACGACAAAAAAGGATGATGGTCACGGTGGGAAGGAAGAAGGATGCTGATGATGATGCTGCAGCTGCTGCTGCTGCGGCAGTGCTCTCGTTGCGCTTGGCATGTCAGAGAGTTTAGAGGGTGATGATCCCTGGACAGGTCTTCGACGCCAAGCGAGCCATTGCTGCGGGCTTTACCGACTCTCGTCCTGAGCATGAGGTTGTCTTCGACTGGGCTTTCCGGATAAGGCCGGAGCATAAGGATGACCGAACGTTCGGGAACGAATGGATTGCCATGCAGAGGGCTTTCCACAGCATCAAAGCTTTTGCACCTGATACTTGTTGCAGAACCTTTCAAGCTCAAGTCGCTTGTAGACTTGCTTATCTTTTTGTTCCGAACCCTCATGCGTGCCACGACATGATCAACACAGAGGTGACATTCGGCACCGGCGTGATGGGTGGCATTCTTGTTTTCTTTTGCCTTGCGCTGATGCATGAACTCTTCGTGGGAGCAGGAGGGAAGCCGCTCTTGGCAAGGAGGGATGGCAGCAACTCAACGCTGCTCCAGCTTGGCTTCTTGATTGGCTGGTTCGTGCCTTTCGTCTCTAAGTCGTTATCGATACCAATTTCGCTGGACTATGCCTTGGCTATGGGCACTTCCGCCACTGCAAGCGGAGTAATGGTCGGGACCATGCCAGTGGGTGCACTCATCGGCACCTGGGTTGGGAAGAGATTCACTAGCGAACAGAAATGGGACCAACGCCATGCTCGTAGGGTCTATGTCTGCTGCTATGGACTGAATTGCGCGTTTCTGCCGGCCATTGCTGTGCTCATCCAGGCCTGCGCCGGATGGAACATGGAGGCCAAGTGCATAGTTTTCTGGCTCGTAGTCTTCCTCACTTTTGCAGCCAATGTGCTTGGTGGTATGATCATGATTCCGTGGTGCACCATGTGGAATTTGGTTACCCCCCACGATGACAAAACGTTTTGGTCGATGCTGGCCCAGAGTTCGAAAAACTTTGGCCTCATTGCGGGTCCGATTTACTTTGCCATGCTGAGCCGCTTCGTCCGGGGGAGCGCCAGTGAAGTGTCTCCCATCAGCATGATGAGCTGGGTATACATAGGCATGTTCTTTGTCCAAGCCACTGAGTTAGTGACAATCGCCGCCATCCTTCCCACTCAGATTCAGGATGCGAGTTCTCAGACTTCTCCTGAGGACAAGTGCAACGCACAAGATGTTGCACCGGAAGCGGTGGATGCGAGTTCTCAGATTTCTGAGGACAAGTGCAACGCGCAAGATGTTACACAGGAAGCGGTGGATGCGAGTTCTCAGACTTCTTCTGAGGACAAGTGCAACGCACAAGATGTTACACATGAAGTGGTGTATACGAGTTCTCAGACTTCTTCTGAGGACTCGAGCATTTCAGAGGAGGTTCTGAGCATTTCAGAGGAGGTTCAGCCCGAGCGCTTGAGCGAAGACTCACGTGAGCAAATCGTATGGAATATGGTGTATTATTCCTATGAGCGATGCTTCTCCGTCTCCGCAATAGAGGTGGCCACCATGATGCTCTTGGAGGTTTCCTACGGCTGGAGCCCTGAGTGGAGCGGAGCATCCTTCATGGTCATTGCTTTTGGCAGTCTCTTCATGACAGGCTCTTCTGCCCTTCTCATATCCAGGAAGCTTGTGAATGAGCCTTTCGTTTTTTTGATGATGGCCAGCCTGGGAGCCTGTGGCGCCATTTTGTTCTTTGACTTTCACCTCCCCGCTCCTAGCCTCCTGCTTGCTGATGTCATCGTCTATGGTGGGGCCAGCATTGCTAACGGCATAGGTGAGGGATGGGCCTGCCGCGCGGCAACTAAAGGTACAAGCTACAGCATCGAAGTGTATCGTATGCATAGCACGGCCGGAGTTTGCATTACCCGCTTCTTGGGCCCTGTTGTGGCCCGGTTTTTGTTGGATTTCGGCGGCCGGAATGTCTATGCGGCTGTGCAGTTCCTCATGTGTTTGCTTGCAGCCTGGAGCGTGTATCGCACCGTCTCACTGATTTGGACAGCAAAGGCTTGAAGCTCAATACTTTCAGAGAAATATTGAGCGGCAGTGAATCTGCCGAGTCCCTTGTGAAAAGTGTAAGATTCACACCCCTGGAAACCCACAAGAGGCTCCAACGAATTAGAATTCGAATGCTCTTTTGCTCAAGAAAAATACAATTTACTGACCTGGGAGAGCCGTGCCTGTTTCCTTCGACTGCACCTGAGACCTCGCCTGGATTGTCCGAGTTGTGCGAGTGTAAAGCCCTAAGCCCGAAAGCCCTACACCCAGGAACCCAAGAACCCAAAGCTTGTCCGAACACAACAGACAGGAATCCGGCAACAGTCTTATTTTCAGGACATGTCAACGCTGCTGCAGAGGCCCTGCACTCGGTTTCTAAAGGAAGGCTTGGCTTTCTGCAGCCCTCTTTCTTCTGCGGAGGTAACTTGTAGATATACTTGTAGAATGTAGAGGTCCGGAATCGCACCTCTATGGGTTCAGGATGTAGGGTTTCGAGTATTGAATCGCTGCGAGGCAGAATGTTGACAATATTCTCCGTCGGGCACGAGCTGGGCAAACGCAACTCGCAGACGACCTGGCCACTTAGCTCAAAACAAGATGGCACACACTCTACGTCAATATCCCGGTTCGGGATGGGACTTTGCCACGGTGTCCTATCGTATGTCATTTCCGTTGGCCTCTCTCTGCTACTTGCCCTAGCTGAGGAGGTGTTCCTGGCTCGTCCATCCACCGATCATGTGCTGATGATTCGGGAAGGCCAGTGGACATCGCGGGCTGCGAGAACGAAGGTCTCAGATCTGTGGCAATGCAAGTTATGTAGGGGCCTTAATAAGTAGCCTGGAAAGGGGCAACATCCTGTGCTTGTCTGCACCGCTCCCTGCTTTCAATCAAGCATCCAATCAAGATCCTGCCGATTTCTGATTGGCCTTGCTGGGGCCATAGTCAGATGGCTGCACACACCACTCAACAGCCTTGTAGTTGAATACTATAGTGGACTACAGTGGTTAGTCTACGACGACGACGACTACTACCACCAGTACTACGACGACCGCTGCTGCTCCTACTAGCTACTAGTACACTACTAATAGTTGTCACATGAATTTAAATGTACATGTGTTCAGTTTCGGAAACTTCCTATGCATTCGCACGTCGTGCAATTGTCCTTGTCTCCACCATCAGCATCGCCACTATGACCATGAAGACCAATATTCGCCGCGTCGATGATCGTCACCTTCGTCATTGTCATCGCTTTCGTCAGGGAGTGCTACTGGCGCTTCCTGTTTTGATTTGCCTACACCGTTGCTGGTCTGAGTTTGATTCGCAAGACAACACTTTACCCAGAAATCGCTTCAACCCGTCCTTACCTGTCAGGCGCCCGTGCACTCCGGGGAGTCACGGCGGAGGTCCTGGAATTGAGCTCCGAGCTAGAGGAGACTTGTTGCATTCATGATATATTGTTTTCTGTGTCATACGTTCGTGAACATACGCCTGGACCTCTGCAACAGATTTCACAAACAGATAATAAACAAGCCCCAACACGCGAACCTGACATGAGCTCTGTAAAAGACCTCTTGCTGCATGCCCTCAAACGAAAACACCAAGGATCCCAACAACATACGAGGATCACGTTGCAAGCGCGGATGAAGAAGTGGCTTCTCAAGCAGCAACCTGACAAGCCCCCCACCCTCCAGGTAAACCCCAACAGTGAAATTGTCTCCTGCCCCTCCTTTTTTGGAAGGAGGCCGGTGCAGAAGCTCCAGACATGGCAAGGCCCGGCATGAGGGTCCGAGACCTTAAGGGTTGAGGGGGTTCTGTCCAGGTCTAAGGGTGTTCGGGGCTTCCTGTGTCGACGCTGCAGCATCGGGCATCCGAGACTTCGAACTTCGAAGGCGATCAGGCCAATGACCAATGGTTTGGGTTGTAGTAGCAGTAGTAGTAGTAGTAGTAGTAGTAGTCGTAGTCGTAGTAATAGTAGTAGTAGTAGTAGTAGTAGCAGCAGTAGCAGTAGCAGTAGCAGTAGCAGTAGCACTTGCTGCCGCTGCTGCCCGCTTTTGCTTGAGCTGGTGCTTGTGCTTGTGGGTGTGTTTGTGGTTGTGGTCGTGTTCGCTGTGGTGGTTGTTGTTGGTGGTGGCGTACGTTTTGCTTGTTCTGATCATTCGTTGTTCCGTATTGTCGTTGTCGCCTGAAGCAGAGGCAGTACAGCAGCAAGCGTAGCGTGATTCTATCTGATGGTCATGCCCCAAAGCTTCGATGTTAAATATTGACAGCAGTCCCTAGGCCCTAGACACTAAACCAGCCCTGAAATCTTGACGCAAACCCCCCAGACCCTGGTACCCGAACTAACATGCGCGGGAGTCAAAACGGGCTACACTGGCTAAGCTCAAAGCGTTGAAGAAATTCCCCCAGGCTGCTTGAAGTCCTTCTTTCGGGGACCCGATTGGCTTCTGGCCTGCAATACAGCTGGGGCGTAGGCTTGAAAGGTCGCTCTGCTTTCTAGGATCAGAACAGAAGAACAGAATGAACCCCGCACAAATTCAGGCTCTTGCAGATTTGAGACGGGCCTTTGAAGTTCAACGCACGCTCCAACGCAAGAAACACGCGGGAGACGTGCTGCCCATCATTCACCCTGTCGCACCTGCTGGAACTTGAAGCAGACTTGAGGAGGCTCTGAACCATCGAACCATCTTCATCCACAGTCACTGTAACCGATCGAGGGGGCCAGTAGGAGAAGTAGTATTCGCAATGTTTGGCCAGACTGAAACGCACTGATCACCGGTCAAAATGCAGGGATCGATTGCACTCTCAACATTCAAGGCAGAGATCCATGTCTACAGACCTAATCCCCTAAACTGGTTTCCTGTTTTGTGTCCTCGGGGCAGCAGCTTGCTTCATCGATCGCAGAAGCGTAGCTTCGATCCTTGCGGTTGCAGTTAATGGGTATAGGCTTCGATTGCTGTTTCATGGCCGAGGGGACCAACAATGCGGAATAAGAGCAGAGGAATGAGCGAGGGGTTGCAGGCGCACGGGGTTGCGGATTGTGGGCCGACTGAAGCGGATCATCGTGGATGCATTCAATCCTTGACTGAGGCCCTGTTGGCTGATGCATTGGTTGACGAGGAGATGCATGGAAAGAGTGTTTGTCATTCCCTGTTGAACCAGCAGGGTCGCTTCTGCTCCCATGCCTTCAGGCTTGAAAGTAGCGAGAAGGTGTGGCCCTACTTGTTCGATCCTCTACCGACACAGCTCCCACCGGAAACTTATGTAAATAATGAGTTCCAGCCCCTATTCCAGTACCAACACAGCCAACAAGTGAAGTGCTGTCATGTCGCGTCGAATGTTGATCGAGTCACTCCCGCGCCCTGTCTATATGCAGTAGAAGATTTGAAGCCGCGCCTCTCGGAGGGTGAGTTGTTGTATTATGCGGGGCCTCACAGAACATGACATGCGATGTAGAACATAACACCATAGAGACTGTAATATGCCGTAATTGAAGCTTTGACAGCCTGCAAATGATCAGGAGACCTCGGCCTTGCGTGCTGCGCAAGCCGACAGCTGAGCTGTTTATTATGATTTTCGCTGTCATCGTTACTTTGGTCATCAGTAGGAGGGTAGTAGCAATAGTCGCCGTCTATGCAGCGCAAGCAGTACCAAAACTTACCCTGTCCTTATGCGACTTATAGTTATGCGCGACGGGGACTTGGAATTGAAGGCTCCTTTTTAGCCGAGGCCGAGGTTCAAGACTAGTGTCGTTTTGAAGGCGGGGGTAAATGTGAGCTTGAGATGCGAGTTTCCTTGCAGAAAATGTATGAGCTTTTCATGCATCTTTGGTGCCGGCTACCGTTGCTATTCCTGTTGCTACTATGACTACGATGACATGACTGCCATGGTGCCTTCAGATTGTCATTATTACTCCTGTCGCATCATTGCGTGTCTCTTAAATTCACCGGTAGCCGGGTTTCATGCAAACCATTCCCGACAAACCCTAAACCCTAAACCCTAAACTTAAACTGATACAGCCGGACCCAGAGCCCGAGCTGCACCCGATCGGCGACAAGCCTCGTTCCTTCAAGTTTCCTACATTCCATTCCCGACGTCGCATCCCCCAAGACATCGAAACCCCTTTGAATCAAAGCCAACCGAAGGCAAACCACTCCGGACCCCCAAACCCCTAAACTCTGGAACCCCTAAACCGGTGAAGCCCTAAACTCTGGCTACCTCGCCTGACCCCGTCGAGTGCGAGTGGCAAGTCAACCCTAAATCCTAAACCACACCGCCAGCAGCTTATCGCTATCTTAGGCCTTCGCTCGGATAGCACCCGTCCTGGGCCGCTTCTACTGGCAACACATGGGCGTCGGTGCCAGAGCAAGCATCACAAGAACAAGACGGAAACCGTTAATAGAGGTCTGAGTAACCAACATTAGTGTCACCCTATAGTCCAGTTGCAGTTATCCGCTATTAGTACACAGTTTGTACAGTTATACCGCTTTTCCCAATAAATTATTGGACGCAAGATGTGTGCGAACGTCACAGCCTGGTATCGAATGCGGGCTGTTTTTTATACATACCTAAACCCCCAAAGGTAGGTAACATAATGACCAAAAACCCATAACAAGGCTCTTATTCTACATACCTTTGGGGTCCAGGTAGCACCGAGACCTCGCACTAAAGACTGCGGCCATGGTTCCAGAGGTTCCAGAGTATGTAGCCACTTTCGGGGCGGAGTAGCTGACATGCGGCTTTGCAAGGGGCCCAGGAAAAACGCAAGGCTGTTTCCTGCGCGGGATCGCTGAAAATAATAGGTTGGGTATCAGAATGAGGCAACCGATGCATGGGGAGGGAAGATGTACATTGTGCAAACAGAAAGAAGTAATTACTGCTGTGCCCCAACATATGAGCCCTCATAATTAGCCTGGAAACCTAAATGCTACATAATTCTACAAAAGAGGGTTGTGTCTGCAGGTGCCCCTGAGCCGTGGCAACGGGCGATCGACGCCCATCGCCCCTTGGCACAAGCCCAGGAGCTCTAAGGAGCTTTCAACTCATAGGGTTTAGGGCTTACCTGGACCCCAAAAGTATGTAGCATACTAGCCTTTTTATGTTTTTTGCCAATATGTTACTCACCTTTGGGGGTTGAGGTAGGGGTTTAGGGTGTGATAAAGACATCGTGGGGTTTTCGCGTAGCTAAGCTGCTTAGCTGCAGGAACTGGTTACTAAAACAACCATGAAATTGCACAGATAAAGACAAGAATGCTCAGCCCGCACAAGGCCCCGGCTCCAACGTCCGAACATCGAGCCTTCGACTGTTCAATAGTTCATAAGATGTGGTTGCTTGCGGTCGGTAGCACCCAGTCTGTGACTTTTGGCAGTTGAAAGTTCCGACGGTTCCGCTGCGCAAGTGCATTTGCAATTCCGTCAGTGTCCCGCAATGTGGACCTCGACCTCACAACGCTAGAGGCCGTCCCCAACGGCTAATCTGCGAATTCCAAGATCCAGCATCACAACATTCCATAACTTATGAACTGTACGCCTGAAGCTGCCGAGCATATTCCGATCCCCTACAATCCTATCCACAATAACTCGGAGAATCTTGATCTCAGAGGCTCACGGTTCTTGGCCGTTGCTTTGGCCGTCTCCGCGAACGCGACGACTGCATCGGTGAATCCGTTTGGCCGGCTAGCGAGCTTTGTATGAATTTAGGAGACACTGGTGTAAGAAAGACGTTTTACAGCGTGAAACGATGTCGGATTAGGTCACAAGTTTTGCAAACAGTTCTCGAGAGTAGCTTGAAGGGCAGGAGCCAGCATTTCATTTGGCTAAAGTCGTGATGGTGTAGTTTTGGTGTCATCCGCACACATCATCCAGTCGACGTCAGAGGCAGTGCAAATGAGAAATTGCGGACCTCCATGTTTGCACAATCTCTCTTGGAATTCTCAATCTCAACGTGAGCCCTGAGACCCTACTGAGAGCCCTGAAGTTGCTAATCCACGGTCTACTGCACTCCGAGGTTCAGCACACCATGCGACCGGCTATTCGCAGCTCTTTGCGTCGAGCCGAGGACTCAACCTGCGTTTGAAAGGTAGAGCTTCAGGTTCTTGAGTCTCCCAATCAGGATGTGGAGCTTTCCGACTGCCTGGGTCATGGGCTTCCTGCCTATCTACGTCAGCTTGTCCTAGGAACAAATGTGCTGCCTTCCCGTTGCTGTATTTTAGGCGCTGCGATGAATACGGCCTGGGATGTATTACTGTGAGCAGGCTTTCCCATGCCGCTACTCCAAAGCTCTGTCTCTCTCTCTCTCTCTCTTGCTGTCTTTGTCTGTCGCAGACACACACACACACACAGAAGAGCTATGTATTCAAGTCGAAACCCCAAACCCCTATATAATCTTCAAACCCGAACTCCTAAGCCTTTCAAAGAAGCCTGAGAAGCCCCTTAGTAGACACCCTAAAGTAATAATGAACACTGATCATACTATTTTTCATCATCATCATCATCCCTAACCCTCCAGGTACTATATAGTACCCTATACAGTAGGCACCTAGGGGGTTAGGGCATCATCACGAAAAGACGAACGAAGCAGCACGGGGCCGGGTGGGAGGAGTCCCGAACTCCGGGTCTCCTTGGCACTGCACCTCGCCCGAGGGCAGACTGCGGGCCAGGCCTTTGGGGTTTTGTAGGGCATGGTAGGGCTTGAAGGATTTTGGATTTCAGGGGTGGGGTCCTTTGGCTTGAGGGTTTAAGCGGTTTAATCAGGGCGCAGGGTTTCAGGGTCTTGGGAGTATAGGGTTGGAGGGTTTTCTCGGATTCTGCTTTTAGAGTGTTGCTGTAAGCCTAGCAGGGTTTCCTCGGATTCTGTTTGGAGGTTATGGGTTGTTAAGACTGAGGGCTATGTGGTATTAGGGTTTGGGTATATGGCTTCTAGACTCTAGGGCCCTAGGATCGAGAGCTTATACAGGGTTATTGCCTGGTCCTGTCGAGTTTTCCGGTAGTTCGAGGAATCAGGGTTTCCGACGAAGTCTAGTTATCATTTGGACCCACCCAAGATTGCGAGTTTTTCTTTGGTAAAGAAACGACTGTAGTGGATATTCAGAGCAAAATGGTTAGGGTTTAAGTAAACACACACACACACACAATCAGATATGCCGTCATGTCAAAGCGAGTCGTGTCTGTCGATGTTTTGGTTGACGACAGATGGGTTCCATTTCTTACAAAGCAGATGTGGGCCGACCACGACATCGCCTGCTCGTGGTCTCAGTTTCAGGTAAGTACTCTCGTTTTGCAGGCTTTGATTGAGCAGGGGTGAAGCTGTTCATGTGAAGTGTCATGTTTCTTTCCAGCTGTGCTGGTGCCTCGGCAGAGTCTTGGCGCTGGGCTCAGTGGGGTGCTGGCATTCTTCAAGTCCAGATGTAAAAAAAGTAAACCCTAAAGCAAACCGTCTCAGCATGGCTGTCCTCAACGCATTGCGTCTGTAGCAGGGCTTCCAAGCCATGCTTTTCCGCATGTTAATGCCAACACTGGTCGCACCAGTGTTGCTTCATGTTCTAGTGGCATGAAAACATTTAGAGATCCAGAGACGCATTGCTGCAGCCAGCAACCCCAATGCCACGAAATCAGAGTTGCGGAAGAAGCTAGACAGCAATTCCGTCCTGGAAACCCTTCTTTTTCTTTGTAATGCACGGATGGAACAGCTGTTTTGGCCATCCGCAGGCGATTGTTCCATCGCATCCTTGGTTGGCTATCGAGGATGACGGCAGCCACGGACGTTCGGCTGAGTTCGTGCGCTGTAGCTGTAGCTGTGACCGCCATGGGAGCTTCAAGTAGGGTTTGCTCTCAGGGTTTAATAGTCGTTTGTCCGGGTTTGTAACTGGGGCTTCGGATATTGAGCTGCTGGGGTTGGTGAATTGGTGACTCGCCATCGTCCGTGCCCGCCAAAAGTTGTATCTTATCTGAGCAAGCTCCGGTTTTATTCGGTTATTTCGACATCGGTGCAGGAATTTCAGGAAGCCATGGAAACTTGCATAAGGGGCTTCGGGTCTAATCACCATCTGAATGTATCAAGAAGATAGGCGGGTGGCAAAGACGTAGCCTGAAGCATCCCATGTGTTGGACTCGGGCGAGCCTTCAGTGAATCAGGATCCCACTAATTTGACGGTCGTGCCTTCCAAAATCGACAGCACCCTGCTCAGGTGATGAATTTAAGGAAAGACTCTTCCTGCAGGGCCTCGCGCTATTGCTCCCTGCTACTCAGCTGGAAACCCGGGTTGTGCTTCTTCGCAAAGTTTAAAATGTTTTACACAAAGCCTGCCTGAATCTCCTGATCGATTGAACAGCCCTGAAACCAAAAATTCCCCTGCCCCAACCCGGGCCGGAGTACGCTGGTCGCATTTGTGCTTGGTGGTGTCAGTTCCATTAGCCGCGCCGCAACGAACTCGCCTCGCCTCCAGCGTCCGATTTCATGTCGAGACGTAGGTCTAACTTGGCTAGGCTCTGAGGATGTGCACTCCGTAGTCTGAGGCCCATTGCCCCCGTCGCATAGTATTCCTCAGACTTTCCTCCCCAAGAGTCCCTGCCTTCGGTCTGTTACGGAAGGGCAACAAGAATCAGGGTGCCACCTACCAAGAGCTGTGCTTAAGCGCGAGGAGTTCCAGAATTCTGACAACGCCTGTTGCTGTAATTAATACTGTTGATGTTATGGTTATGGTTATGTGTATTATTGCAAGTTGTGCTTATTTGTAGTCGTTATGATTGCGATTGTCATGTCGTGAAACCTGGCTTCCAGAGGTCCCTGGTTGCGAGACAGATCCCAGCTCCGCTGCACAGCTGTGGAACCGCATTTCTGCTGCAACCGAGTCCTACTTTTTGATAAGGGCAGTGGTCTTGTAAAGGGGTTGCGCCTGTGAGGTCCTAACTTTCTCCACGCATCAAGTTCCACGTGAGCTTACATCTCGAAAAGAAGTGCCCAGATGCCCGCATCACACAAGTGTTGAAAGCCCGACGTCATTGCATGTGATTTCTCAGAGCGTGTGGGCTCGCCTGAGTGCCTAGACGGCATCTACAGGTACACCGTGACGGTACACAATGTGTTTCAACAGAAGGCAAGCACCGCGTAGCAAAAACTGTGAGAAATTCACTGTATCGTTGACAGCGAATCTTCGAAATCCTAAAATATGACCTTGCGACACTGAGGCTTGCACCTGAGAAGGCTCAACAAGCGTGTTTTCTATTTTTGCAAGATTGCGAACTTCGAGAAGCATCAAAAAATCCTAAAGGGCCTGGGCATCATGACTATTTTGTGTTCAATATGTTCTCTCCATTCCGAGGCCTCGTGTTGGATGGGGCCGACTTGGCTTCTTCACTGAAGTCCTTCGATGGGGAAGATCCGCTGCCAGAGTCCGCCTTGCGAGCCTTGGCCGTGTACGTGCACATATCTGTCAATCAAAAATCATTGGTTCAGAATGTTTTGCTCGCTGCATCATGCAGAAGATGAGGTCCGCCCACTTGGTATGTTAACCTGTATTCTTCATGAAAACCATATAGACAGTTACCTGCGCGCACACGCACGCATTCATCCTCCCTCCACTACCTCTCTCCCTTCCTCCCTGCCTCCCTCCCTCCATCCATCCATCCATGCATCCATCCTCCATCCATCCGTCCATCCGTGAGTGTTTGCGTGTGTGCGTGCGTACATAGGAACGCCATAGATGCACACATAAGTGTAGACGTCGATGTAGACATAGACATAGACACCGACATACAAGTATACCATAGTATACCTGTACATGCACATACACACAGCCACCCACACATACATGTGTATATATATATATATATGAGATGATGTCAAAATTATCGTATATTGGTTGTAGAGCAGGCGGTTGTCGAAGATGGCCAATGCTACCGTTGACTTGTAAAACGATACGGGACGCCCTAAAGACGATACCCTAAATGCAGCAAT